CCTGGGAGTCCTGGTGGGCAATAAGCTGACCATGAGCCAGCAATGTGCCCTTGTTGCCAAGAAGGCCAATGGTATCCTGGGGTGTATTAAGAGGAGTGTGGCCAGCAGGTCGAGGGAGGTTCTCCTCCCCCTCTACTCTGCCCTGGTGAGACCCCACCTGGAGTACTGTGTCCAGTTCTGGGCTCCCCAGTTCAAGAAAGACGAGGAACTCCTAGAAAGAGTCCAGAGGAGAGCTACTAGGATGATAAAGGGACTGGAGCATCTCCCCTACGAGGAAAGGCTGAGAGAGTTGGGCTTGTTCAGCCTGAAGAAGAGAAGACTGAGAGGGGATCTCATCAACGCATACAAATATCTTAAGGGCGGAAGTCAAGAGGACGGAAGCAGTCTGTTTGCAGTGGTGTCCAGCGACAGGACTAGGGGCAATGGATGCAAACTGAAACATGAGAGGTTTCAGTTGAATATGAGGAAGAACTTCTTCACTCTGAGGGTGGCAGAGCATTGGAACAGGCTGCCCAGGGAGGTTGTGGAGTCTCCTTCTCTGGAGATATTCAAAGCCCGCCTGGATGAAGTCCTGTGTAGCATGCTCTAGGTGAGCCTGCTTTAGCAGGGGGGTTGGACTAGATGATCTCCTGAGGTCCCTTCCAACCCTTACGATTCTGTGATTCTGTGTAAAGGTCCCTTCCAACCCAAAACATTCTATAATTCTATGATAAGAGATCACAGCTCCCGGGCCCGGCTCCGTGCCGCTGCATTTCCTTTACAGACAAACCACAAATATCCTGATTTTCTGAAAGGCCACCAACCTGCAACCCCCACTGTGTGAAATGGGGACTGCAAACACTTAGCGTCCTTGAAGCTCAGGTCATTAATGGCTTTTCTCGCTTGTTTACCCAAAGCACAAAGTAGGGATAATAGGTTGCTTTTATCACACAGGGGTGGTGTTAACGTCAATTAATAAGAATTTGCGAAGTTCATTTAGATCTTGGGATTAAAAGGCTCATTTCAAGGGACTGTTACTACATAAAGCCAAACACATGTACACAAGCAGGAACGTTAAATGTATGCAATCATCCATAATGTGCACTTAGATAGCTGCTCTCTTCTAAGGTTTACTGAGAGCTACACAAACAATTAATTTAGCCAAACCACCACTTCTGAGGTAAGCAATAGGTAATGGGTTTATTTTATTGAAGGAGAAACACAGTGCAGTGAATATGAAGTTACCAAAGTCGCATATCTGTTTCTACTTTGATCACTACTGAACTCATTACTATTAAGGAATACATTTATAGACACACGAATATCCTATGAAACGTGAGCTTGTCTTTCTTGGAGGGAAGGGAGATAGAAAGGCAATTAAAATACAAAAGTTTATTTTCCTAATGTGTTAAGTAATAGATGGAAACATAGAGGGTAGGCTAAAAGTAGAGTCCATGTTAATACAGGACTTATTTGTGCTCCATGTCAAATAAGAGAGCCTGGGAGAAGAAATTTTTAGCTAATCATCCTCTACACATCTCTGCAGGGTTGGTTCTGTTTTATCAATTTCTCAGAAGCAACCTTGGCTACCCAGTTCCAAAGTGGTTGAAGTGCTTGGTTATCTCCCCTGTATCTGAAGACATAAACACACCTTTAACTATTGTTTTAACATAAGCCCCCAAAGCTTCCTAACTTACATTTATCCTTTAAATAGCAGCCGAAGGAAGAAACATCTGATTTGATTCTTTCTCAGTTGTTCTTATCCCGTATTTAATCCTCATTACTCCCTCCCTGCATAGCACAGGGCCGTCCCTTTTGTTACCCATGCTGAGTGTATCAGCCGGCTTCTTGTGATTAACACAGTGATGCAATGAGAGTTATTAAGAGCAAGCAATGAGGTATCCTCTGGTTCCTTTGGTGACTGATCTGACCTTTCCTATTCTTTTCTTCTGGTTTTGTTTGCCATTTGTAATGCTGTTGATCATAATGATTACCTGGCTGCAGCTTCTACTCAACGAAGGTAAGTTCTGCAGTTGATCAGATAAAATGCTCCTGCATAAGGGCTTTCTCGTTTAGCTTCATCTTTAAAGCACTCCGCTAGCTATGTTTAGACTACTGCGAGAAGGAAACGAAAGGGTTTTTTAGTGCTGTTGGTAGTGTATGGAAAGCCAAACTCAAATTATTATGCTTTTCTGTTAAAAATGCTTATAAGACAACAAGCTGCTGCCAGCTGCTCTTCCTTGTCCTCTCCCTTTTTCTCAGAGTTAATTTAAGGAAGGAAAAGGATAAGTCATTTTTGTAAATTTCTATTAAAAAATCCCCCAGATAGAAAACCTAACTCTCTAATTTTGTACACCTTAAAACTCAGGCATTATAGTTCTTTTACACTTCTTTTTTGGGGGGAGACGTGAAGGGGGTGTTACCAGGGGAGCTGTTAAGGGATTCTTTTAGCAATGCTGAGGCTGATAGAAAATTCTTGAAGGGAGCAGGACATGCATTTTCATTTATTTGAATATTTTGCATCTCTTTCTGATCCACTGGCGATTCTTATTTCTAACATGTCAGTCACTAATAACAGGCTTTGGTTTAGGCTAATAATAGGCTTGCTGAAGTAGTCAGGAGGATAAAGCCTTGTTAGTTTGCTCTAATCCTGGAGCATAAGCAATCCCAGCTGAGGAATCAATCCTAAATTCAAAACCAGCAATTCTGCCTTTGCAGAACAGCTGTAGGAAAGAAAATAGGAAAAAATTTCACTTCAGCAAGCTTACTTCTCTTTGGTGCCCTCTCTTCTTAGTAACGCGGTATCCAGTCCTATAATAGATCCCATAAGAATAGCAACAATGAGACAATGCCCACAAGCAGCGGAGGCTTGCCCTCCTCCCTCCTTTCATGTCCCGCAAGTGTGTGCATGCTGAATGTTTTACTTCCAGCTCTTACTTTATAGGCTTAGCACACAGCTGATGCTCATAGCAACCTCTGCTTGCTGCAGTGGTAAAGTACATTCGCTCCACACGCTCAAGTGCGCTGTTGTGGGTAACCGAGCACAGCAATTAAAAAGCACAGGTTGTGACAACTGTACGAGTGACCCTGAGGAGCACAGGCATGGCTTACTGCTGATGCCTGAAAAGCAGAATAAAAGACTTATTTTGCTTAGGTAAAGGGTAGCTGTGCCACATACTTACACTTAGGTTGATTTTCAGCTTTTTGCCTGGACAGAGTGACTCTTCAATAGCTTGATGCTTTGAAGGGGATTTTCAGTTTCTATCTGCTGCCTTTATCTTCCCAATTTCTGGCCCTATGGTGATAGTTAGTAGCACCAAGCCTCCAAGGATTTCCACAAATGCTCTAAATTCCATTTTAATCAATAAGACTAGACACTACTAAATTTTTACATGCTAGTGCATTTACATGATTAGAACATTAAAGCATTTCTCAATCACCCTTAAGAAAGAAAAATAAAACACTGCTCTTTTTAACAGCTTCCTAATTAATTTAGTCATATCCACTTATTCCATGCTAGTTTACAGCAGGCACAAGTAGAAAGTGGTGGGTGTTTCAGCTCCTCATTTAATATAGTTGCTGATCAAGAGCTAATTGGTTAAAATCAAACTCTTGTACAGGCCTCCTATTGCCTAGTTTGGTTTGAAAAATCCTTCATTTCAGCTGAAAAAGATTCAGAGGAACCTTACCCAGCTTCTTGATAGTACGAGTAAGCCTTGCAACTAGGAAGAAAAAGTCATGTATGGGTATTGTATGTGTTCTTTTTAAACCTCTTTCTAGAACAGATGTCCAGTGTGGAAGAATTAAAGCAACAATCTTATGATGAGCCTGATTCTGACTCTAAATTTGAGGATGAACCAACAGAGGAAGAAAACCAGAATGACACATCCAGCATAGAAATGCAAGAGGAGACACGATCCGGTGGATCTCTGGGAAAACTGAGGCCCAAGCCTGCTTATCTAAGTTCAAAA